AGTAAAAATCGACAAATATAACTGAAAAAACACGGAAATGAAAGAACAATAGCATCATTATTCGAAGTTAATTTTATACCCTCGAGTTCTTGCGAAAAGATATTTCTACTGATTGAACTATAATGTTTATATGCAACTTTTCAGGCTTAAGTATTCCATGCCTTAGTAGCAGATATCTCGATCGGCTCAGATAGGGCTGTTGTGCAATAGGTACAATAGGCACCGTGCCTCGGGCTTACATACACAATGTTAAAGACAAGTGTATACCAAGGGTTTACGAACATCACCTTACTGAAAGTGTATACCTGGCCTATGAAAACCGTGTTACCAAAAAGTGTATACTTTTATGTCTAGTAAGGACGTTGATGCGTTCCTGGGTTTAGATCATATAATTACAACAGGAATTAGAGATAGATTTAAAACAAGAACTGAATTTTACATAAGTCATGAAGTTGGAAAATCGATGCAGTCTGCACGAACGGCCAAAGCGGAGTCGATGGCATGTAATCGACTCTAAAGATTCATGACTTTATGCACCGTGTAAAATAATGACTTAAATTCATATCTTTACAAATAGTTCTGAAAAAAAAATAAAGAATGGCAAGGATATCAAAGAACTACAGTTTACCAATTGTTTACAAAGATTGCAAACGCACCAGAAAGACGCATGAATGTATATCTACACATAGCTCTTTTTTTGTGATGTCGACCTTGTTATATACGGTTAACCGAATTACAAACTGGAAAGGAGAGGTCACGTGAGGGTCAAATTGGTCGCATATTAATTGTCATTGTCTGTAGACTCGCACAAGAACTATAAAAACCTGATTTATTCTTTTACTTTTTTCCAACGATTCCCGCGAATCAGATCCAGTTGAATGCTGTGATCTAATTTGAACTTGTAGCATGAGGCGCCGTATCAAACAAAAGCTGGTCCAAATAGAAAGTTATAGTTGAAATCTCGATGTCATATGTCAAAAAAATCCAATATCACGTGTTGCATCGAATTACATGTCCTAAAAATTCGATTTTCATGATTGAGATTTTAGATTTTATATGTTGTATTATACAGTGGTGTTTTGAAGTTATATTTCCTATGTCAATGTTTTACAGTATATTTTGAATTACACAGCGGCGGTTTAAATTTCCATATCATATGTCGAGAATCCCTAATTCACACTTTGTATGCAACTTTTCTTGAAAGTTCCATTGCATATGACGAGTATTTAGATTTCAGCTGTTAAATTTCACAGCAACGAGAAGCAGCCTCCTTGTTTAAAAATAACGCGATCTGTTAACGAGAGCGACATCTAGCGAAGAAATTTACAGTAACTCTCGACATGTGAATAGTAACTTTCAAACTGTTAATGCATGACATGTAATGGCGCCTCATAATTGAATACACAAATGAGGCATCTTAATACTCTATATTATTTTGAATTGGACGGACGATCAACGAAAAAGATTCTAAGTTTTGCTAGTGGCAATCCCAAAATATATGGCTACGAATATGGGACCCCCAGGAAGAGGTGCACACCGAGTGTAAAGTAAAAAACTATTGACTCTCAATTAAAACACCAGTCCAGTGGTAAACTTTGGGGTATTGAATCACGCCTTGCAGTCTGGAAACGATCTACATTTTAAAGTGACCATCTAAGAACTGCACAAGATTGTACGCTTAGCCACACCAAATCGTCAGTCGACCCTTGGGAAAATCTGTATCAAATCGTGTACTAGATGCGAGAGCGGATTCCCATCCTCTTTACTTTATATTATGGACACGGATATAAAAAATGAAATGGTTCTAAGAGGATATTCACCAAGAAGAAGGGTGATTTCGATACAGGAAGAATCGAGTGAGAGACCTAACGCGAACTCAAGTTCAAACAATACAATTTTCCTGCCTTCTTGTCTGACTATTGTGATTGTACCAGTCGAATGGAAACGTTTCAAAAATGGCCTAAGGATAAGGAAGGATTACCTACTTTGAATTTATATATATATATATATATATATATATATATATATATATATATATATATATATATATATATATATATATATATATATATATATATATATATATAACAGGATTTGTCTAATTGGAACCTGAGGCTGGATTGGGATACGAAGTACAGTGCTCATTTGTGGTTTGACGTTGCGTATATGTATCTATAAAGTTTCAGCTATTCTGGAACATACTCGATGGTCTCCACACTGTCCTTACATTTATATGACCTTTCTCCCCATCACACTGCGGTACATTTGACGGTTCCTTAGAGAAGGTAGTACCGTTATTTTAGCGGTCAACTTCTGATTCCTGTCAAATCAGTGCTCTGTTTGGCAAAGCCTTGGACAAAACGATCGAGTACCATAAAATGGCTCGTCGCCTGCTGACGAAATTTTCGGATGCCAAGACGTTGGCCATTACATACAGTCCTGAATTGTTTGACATTTTGGTCGGAGACCTGAAAATGGTCAAGAGTAACAACATGCCGCCCATCACCAACAACTTGAATTTTGCAAAATTTTCTCTATCCCCTGTAGAACTGAACCAAGGACTAAATTTGATCTTTGTGTATTCTGATGTGGTGGATCACAACGTGGTGAGACACACATCCTAACCGTTACTGCAAGTCATTCCTTTCCAAATGGATTCTGCCACAACCAATGACAAGGAAGGCAGAAACTCAAATCACGTTCACATCGAATTTGTACATCCTTACTATTTACCCGTCAGTAAGTCGTATTTCGACAATGTCAACATTGTTATAAAAAGAGATCTGGGACAAAAGATTCCAATCTCCAAAAAGGAAAGTTTCGAAAACGATTCTCTAACGACTTGCAAGCCATATATCCGGTGTACCGCTCCACACCAAGGACGAAGTTTAGGAGATATGCTGAAATCGCCGATTTGACACAATGCAAAGAATTTTTCTTGATAAATTGTAACTTTCGTGATCAGTCCGAAATATATAGAGTTTTGACCGTAAACCATAGAGTTCTCTAACAGGTATGCCGTTTAGCTCATCGTTCGAAATTCTTAGCATCTGTTTGTTTACTTATGGTTTGTTGAATATGATGTATGTTGAGTAGCCACTGAGATCGTAAAATTTCATTTTCTTCCATTATGAATGTGTTCCGATTCAACATGGATATAAAGTGTACCCAATATCAATCAACACTACTTCTTCTCTTTCTTCGCACTAGCTTTCGGTTTGTTTGAATAAAAAGTCTATATTAACGACTTAGATAGCCCCAACATACTAGATAGAACCACTTTATATTTGTTGTTTTTTATGCTTGTTTCAATGGCAAATAACAGATCTTTATTGACATTTCAATAGACCTTTTTCGTTCTAACCTATTTTAAAAGTTGTTGCTATCGTCAAAAGGCCTGCACTTATTTACAGAAAACGGTGTTGTTGATACATATGAAAAAGTCCTTCCAAGAATCATCTGAGCTCGATAAGGATTTATTGATCAGATGGAGCAGCTAGCTGTTCATATCCTTTTCGGATGTACAGATTAAACATAGTGAAGGTTTGATATATCTTATAGATAATGTATTGCTCTTTACTTTGCAGTGTCCTCTGATCAATGACATGTTTTTGAAACTCAGATATGTCGTCCATGCTAGCAATGACATATTAAGGTCTTCCAGAGCCAAAACACCGTAAATATTATGCCCTCACCCACCCCGTGACACTCAAGAGTAAAAAAAAAATAAAAGCTAAAACGGTGTGAAAATGCCAGTTTTGCTATCATTCCAGCTCAAAATAATCGTACATGCATATCGAAATGGTCATATATAAATATAAATATGATCTGAAGCCATCATGTAGGCAGTTTTTTTTAATTCTTGTAACTTAGGATAGCATAAACTGAATATTCTCAGGAAATTGTAATATTTTATAGTTCTTTTCCCCGTCCATTTGTTTTCTTTCAATTTTTTCTCGCCCTTGTGCGAGTTCGAAGATCTGGAATATGACCCCTGCGCACACGTCATTTGACTTTGTATTTTGATGAGTTTACTCTCTGAGGGGACTAGTTTGGATTACCTTTCTGTTGATATTCAAACTTTACTTGGCGCTGTATAACCATTAATATTCGTGTCCCGGAAAACCCTAAAATACTTAACAGCACAGCACAGCAAAATCTCTCTCTCTCTCTCTCTCTCTCTCTCTCTCTCTCTCTCTCTCTCTCTCTCTCTCTCTCTCTCTCTCTCTCTCTCTCTCTCTCTCTCACACACACACACACACACACACACACAATGTTTAGAGTGCCATTAAAGAAGCTAAAACTTTTCTTACTGTCTGTTTCTAGTCCGCGTTTATACTTCACCAGCCATCACTATTATAACAACTATTTATATATTGATTTATATGTCACTATTTGTTATGAAATTGTATCTCTTTCAAAAATTTTCCGTCTCTGTATTTTAGTTCGGTTGTATAACAGTTCTTCGTATACCATTGATCTAAATATGAGTGGAGAAAATCGAAACCCGAAGTAAACCAACTTTTGACAAGACGTTATTTGGGATTGTGCACAGAGATAGAAAACAAGTGCGTTATTCTTTGTACCATGGAAAATCACCGTCATAAATCTATGTATCAGAGGACTTTGAAATTCGTACATAAACCGTGAAAGTTTGTTTCTAAATTTTTTTAAAAAAAATGTTAGAATATTTATTTTCTTTATTTTCGTCATTTGTTTCGGGCAAAACGAAAGTATACTCGTACTCGAATTTCATTTTCTAACAAGTTCAGATGCTTTATAATTTTATGTCCAAAGTTGGTTGTTTTTACAAATAATACATAAAACATTTATAATGAATGAATGGAAATGTTTAACTTTAAGATGATGGCATCACAGAATTTTGATGTAATATTATTATTAAATATCCGCAAAATTATTTTATTTCTGGCCCAAATCAACCCGTCGAAAAACAATCAAAATTGTCATGTTAAGAAAAAAAAAACGTAGTAGCTGTATCTGTTATGGAATCGCGATAGTTCAGTTGGTAGAGCATCTGACTCGTACTCTTAAAGTCGTGGATTTAATACCTGCCCATGCCAGATCTGCTGCATCAGTGCAATGGGGAAGGACAATTAAGTCCGGCACGATACAGCAAATAATGCGTTAGAATTGCCGTTCGAACAAGTTATAATTTTGGACATGAAAACAGACAATGGTTATGCAAGGTACGTAAAATGTCTGTATACAAAGGAATAAGACAACGGAGTCTATGTCAGGGTAATGGAGACTTAACATACACAATGACACCCACACCCTCATCTTCGCTTGCCAAGTTTCCGATATGATAAATATATTATCATAGAGTTATCATATCGGAACATTGCCTAGCGAAAATGCTGCACCCTACGTGTAGAACATTCGGTAAGCTAAGATACATGTGGTAACGAGAAAAAAAAAATGCTAACCCATTTCACATGATCCCTTCGTCCTTAAAATTGTCGTCCAAATATTGCTATTATTGGGTGCGGTAATAATGCCAAACATTTTGACGAAATAATAATGATATGTACCACCATCATTTTAAAATATTACGGAAAAAACTATGTTCGACCTATATTCAAAATTTCCCATTGTCACAACTACAAATAAAGTGTTTCGCCTGTGTAAGTTTTACACTTTGATGATGTGCTATTTTTAAAAAAGTGTAATAATATTCACCCAATATTTAGTAAGACAGGCTATTGTCAGTATATATTTTGCCGTTGCAGACTAATAATAAGACTATTAAATAAATGACTATTTCGCTCCTTTGAACGGAGTTAAGATTTACTGAAGGCAGTTGTGTATTGACCGAATGAATGAACTTTTCACATCCCCGAGTGTGTTCTCTACAACATGCAGTTCTTTGCCTTTTGTGGTTATCAACAATCACCATTGTATATTGATAAATTGATTATTTTCTTTTTAGTTTCTATTTTTCATCACATTTATCAAATCAATGTAACACATACTTATGATATACAAATGAAAAATGGGTTTTAATGATAAAAGTAGAGCACTACAAAAACACATGGCTAGCTACGCTATTCACATGAACGCTGTTGTTTATTTACCGGCATACGGAAATTAATGTTGAAAAGAAACTAAGCGAAATGACAAACCAACAAGAGGCAATTAAAATATTTAAGTGTATTTACAGTTGATCTAAGTCATTATTCTACTCTAGTAACAGTACCACCGATAATAAACTTAAAGTGTGAAGTGTGTCTGTCTGTCTGTCTGTCTCTCTCTCACACACACACACACACACACACACACACACACACACACACATATACACACACAGTGCCGTCTTAAGGTTTGGGCACACTGGATCAGTTGCTCATGGCCTCGCGCTTTTAGAGGCATCATGCTGCCCATATTGTTAATGAATAGTAGGGCCAGTTGGGTGCCCTAGTGCATTGATTTGCCTAGAGCCTACACTGTTGTTAAGACGGCACTGCACACACATCCTTTGGTCGGTTTGACTTAACTTTACTATCATTCATAAGTTTAGAGATATCGTGGGATGACACAAAGGAAAATCCTCTACGTTGGTCATTTGATAGATTATTATTCCGTGTCTTGATACGATAGTCCAGAGAGAGAGAGAGAGAGAGAGAGAGAGAGAGAGAGAGAGAGAGAGAGAGAGAGAGAGAGAGAGAGAGAGAGAGAGAGAGAGAGAGAGAGAGCTAGCTTTGAACATTTTCATATTTAATTAATAATAATTGATTTTAAAACAATAGAGTATGTTTCAGAAACAACAATAAAACATTACATACATTAGAATATGTGTACACGTAATCGAGGAATTTACTATATAATGTCGTTTTGGTTTTCAACTTTGAATCATTGATAAGCGGTGTAGATCAATCCCAAGGAAAGTGCACACGTATCGTTACGACGAACCATATTCTTGTAGGTTCTTTGCGTAATTTCTATATCTAGATTATAATGCAGCCCAAATTCTTTTTCTCTCTCATTCCACATTTCTGCATAGTTTGTCCGTTATTCATGAGGGAAATGGGAGAGAAAGCAGAAAGGATTGTGATGAAAATGTGTACAATATTAAATTCATTTAGAAAACGAGGATTATTAATACTTTTCATCGTTATTTTCATACGTCACTAATGATTATTGTGTGGAAATTCATCATTGACATAGAATCAACTGCAGACTGTCGCTAGAATGTTTATATATGCGTATTATTGCGCCATGGGTGGATGACAGTTTGATATGCCAATAGTACTGGTATATAAAATTGCTTTATACCAACACGTTAAATGCCATATTATATTTAGTGTTTGTGTATGTATATATGTATGTATGTATATATGTATATATATATATATATATATATATATATATATATATATATATATATATATATATATATATATATATATATATAATGTCCTATGGCAGTCAGACTTGGCGGAATTACGGAAATATATATTTGAGTTCAATCAGATTTGGTTATAGGATGCCAGATATCGTATGTACAGGTTCATGAATGTCACATGAAAAGATTCGTCAATTTTTTGTCTGTACAACTTGTATCTTTTGTCTTTAGGTAACGCATGTTATTACATATTAAAAACGTGTGTAATGGCAAATCAGGAAACGCAAAGTAAGCAGTGTATAATAGTTTTTATAAACAACTAATTAAGCAGCAACTTATTTCCTGATTTATAGAACTCCGGACTTGTGTCTATGAAAGAATGACATGTACACATGAAACAGTGGCATACAACCTTTAAACTCATAAAATTAGCACTTAAATATATTGAAATTGAATCGAGAAAATAGATTTGTCCAAATTAATATCCTAATAATTGATGAGTCAATGCTGAAAAACATACTCCTTTACTAGTCCTTTGAATTGTTGAACCGAAACGTAAATGAGCATACATTTTACAGAGATAACTAATCTTTGTGTTACTCTGTCACTGATATTGAACCATGCTGGAAGAAGTTCACCATGAGAAACATCCAACAATTTTGTCCAGTGAAAGTTGAATTAAACTTAACAATGTGATTTGCATAGAGACCCACTGAATAAGGAGAGCTAGTTGAGCATATACAACTATATCACACAACATGAAGAATAACACAAAACCGGTCTTTTTAGCACCATGAATGAAACCATTCCACCAAATCTCTGAGTATCATGAATTATATTACACAACTAGACCTTTTAGCATCATGAAATTAAAACGGTTTTGTAAACGGTTTGAAATATTTCACAAAAGAACGTAAGGGAAGCTTGAATTCATGAAAAGTATTTTAGACAACCAAAACAGGTAAACACATTAGGGTTTTATTACATACCCGTTTAATGTTACATGGTTGATCGGCCGTTGGATGTAAATTTTCAGGTGATATTTCCGTACCACCTAGGAAAGAATTACAACCTAGGTGAACATCGACATGAATTGCCATTATACAAAGATTGTCTAACTTTCATTGTCTATCCGAAAATAATTGCCATTCAACAAATATTGCCTATTGCCTATCTGAAAAGAATTGCTATTCAACAAAGATTGCCTATTGCCTATCTGAAAAGAACTGCTATTCAACAAAGATTGCCTATTGCCTATCTGAAAAGAACTGCTATTCAACAAAGATTGCCTATTGCCTATCTAAAAAGAATTGCTATTCAACGAAGATTGCCTATTGCCTACCTGAAAAGAACTGCTATTCAACAAAGATTGCCTATTGACTATCTGAAAAGAATTGCTATTCAACAAAGATTGCCTATTGCCTATCTAAAAAGAACTGCTATTCAACAAAGATTGCCTATATCTCAAGTAAGATGCAGTCCAGTACGCTCTTCCTGCTGTCCCACAAATCCCCTACCCCTGCTTACAGGTGTTGGCATCGTATCAAAGGTAAGAGACAGTCCCCGACAAACCTCCTTCCTCCTGCTGTCCCACAATTCCATTCCTGGACACGGACAAGCTATACAGAGAGGGACAGTCCGGGCCGCGCGGCCAACTGTCCAGAATATTATTTTATAACTCAGTCTTCACTATGGCCCTAGAGGACCATTGAACAAACATGATCCTTTGGAAAGGCGCTCAAAATTAAACAACCATCCCTAGTCTAGCGGTGATAAAAGTTACAAAGGGTGACACACACCCAACAGATTGCAAGCATTTTCGGCCCTTATAAGAACGCTAAGTACAAAAAATTCCAACATAATAATATTCCAAATTCACAACATTGCGGTATTTGGTCAATTGCTTAGATGGCTTACACAACATTGGCATAGGGACACCCGTAAGCAGACCTGGTAACAATTTGATCTTTAAGCCTGCCCGACTGAAATAAAGTTGGGCGGACTTATCAATGGTGATTTGGTGGGGTGGAAGTTGTGGTCGCACTAGTTCCAGAAAGGCCCAGCTTGGGGCCAAGTGCCCTCTTAAAGGGACCGCCGCCAAGCACTAGGGCCGCAATAAGTCGCACGAAGCTGCACCAGCGTCATAAACGTGACTATAAATCATGTTCAAGTTTATAAATCCCAAAGTAATTATGGTGACTACTGAGAGAGAGAAGGAGGGAGGGAGGCAGAGAGAGGGGGTGTACGGGTGTGTTTGGTGGGGTGGACTTGTTCTTGGGTGGGGTGTGGCTGGGGCCGGGGTGGGTCTAAATTGCTGGCTCTGTGTTTTGAGGGCGATAGAGTGCGTAAAAATTATATGAGTAACTTGTCAAAGTTGCTGAAAGGTCCAGACCGGGGCTAGGCGCCTTCTCTTAAAGGGACTGTGGTCCAGCATGAGGCCATAAGCAGTCGTAGACGTACTCTGTGCAAAATGTAATCCGATATATATATATATATATATATATATATATATATATATATATATATATATATATATATATATATATATATATATATATATATATATATCCCAATTCGTCTTGAATGTCATTCATACTGTCACGCTAAAATATCAAGCTTGAATAATTAGAAAGCGGTAGTTTATAATAATTACCAAACCGCATTCTTGTTTTATTTCTTAGTTGTAAAAAGAGCTTTGATATCTTTTATATGGCTTAT